CCCTAAAGATATATACAGTGGAGATATGAGGACGTAAAATGGATGTTAGTTCATCCCGTATAAGAGTAATGACTGCAATGAATTCTCTGACGTTCATGAAGATCGTCTTTTCGTCACCGTCTTCTACCATTCACTTGAACAAACTCAATATTCTTAGCATTCTCTACATGGGTCGAAAGTGGAGGACCCACTCGAAGACATAGCGATGAGGACGAGTTGGAGAGGGTTAAACTCAAAATCAGCGTGAACAATCAGCATATTTGTTTAAACTGTTCAGCTTACACTAGGTTGTTGCATAGTTTCTATTCGGTCACGTCTCGACCTCTTTGTCTTCTTTGGAACCGGGGTTCCCAATCGATGGTGCACAGACATTTGTAAATACGTGAGCACTTTGTGAGTGGAAAAATGATCTGATGTATAACTGAGCAATCAATATTTTCAACCAATCACTTCATAGAGCCCAACAAAGTAGCTCGAATATCTGGCCAATGATGTTCATCGAAGCCAAAGAGAAAGAAAAAATATTATCTTTAAAGTCAGTTACACTATGGATATGGTATAATTTGATGGCAATAATTAAAAAGTGGTACCTCATGAAATTTCATATCATATCCAAAGAAGTAAAGACCAGTGGATTGGTGACTTATTTACTTGGTTACTTGCACGGTCCGTCTTCACGGGCTGTGCCGACCCCAACACATATGCCATTCGTTCTTTTCTCTCGCAATCGTAATCCATGGTGGTGGTCTTTTTCGAGCATGGTAGCGCTTGCGAGTCTCATACCGTGATCTGTAAGCCAACTGCAGCTGTGGGTACAGCTGATTAACTTTGTTTACGAACACATCCACCAAACTTGTAGGTGGTCGTCCAAGGGGTGTCTGCATTCTCTTGGAGTCAACTCTATGTTCTTTTCGCCCAACTGTCGTCTGTTCTTCTCATTATGTGACCGGCCTGTCTATGTTCCGCTGTCGATGTGTATTCTCCTCGATCTCGAAGATGTGACAGGTTTCGAAGGTCAGAGCTTCGCGTTCCGGCTACATATTGAGAGCGCCGGTTATATTTCGGAAGACATCGCTCAAGCGCTCTGTGAGTAGTTCGAAGTATCCTTGACGTAGTTGAAGTATCAACCCACGTCTTTGCGGCATAACAGAGCGTTAGGAGGACCGTAGAATCAAAGAGTTGAGCGCGGATTTTCGGGTCTTTCAGTTGGTCGGTGGCTTCTTTGAGAGGCCCGAATGTGGCCCAAGCTGCTCTCCTTCTTCTATCTTGTTCCTCCTTCATGTTGTTTTGCATGTTCATAGACCCTCCAAGGTGTACTTACGTGGTGTACTCTGCAATGAGAGAGCCATCCAATTCAATTTTTTCGCCTTTGCACCATGGGTTTTTCATGAACTGGGTCTTTCATCGATTTATGCGAAGTCCGTTCTTTTCTCCAGCTTCGTTGAACTCGTTGATCATTACCTCTGCTTCGCTAGTACTTCTTGAGAAGATGACAGTTTCGTCGGCAAAACAAAGGTTTGATAGGAATTTTCCATCCATCAGTACGTATGCCTTTCTCATCTTAATCGAGTAACTTCATTATCCACTGCAGTGTGGTACTGAACAGCTTTGGCGAAATTGTGTCGCCTTGTCGAACTCCTTTTTCTATAGATATTGTAAGAGATCGATGGAAAAGCTGTATTTTCGTAGTGAAGTTCCGATAACAGTCGGACTGAGTCCTTATATAGGACGAGTCCTTTTCTTGGTCGACGAGCGTTCATAGGATTGCATTAGTTTCGACACTGTCAAACGCTTTCTCATAGTCGACAAAGGTTAGGGCCAGAGGTAAGTGGTATTCCCGCCAAGCTTCGATGACCCTGGACACGGTTTGGATGTGGACCATGCAGCAAAATCCTTTTCGAAATCCTGCTTATTCGACAGGTTACGTCTCATCCAATGTCCTTGATATACGCGAAAGGTTAATCTTCGTGAAGAACTTGTAGAGTACACTTTTTAACAAGCATATGGGACGACAGTTACGAAAATCTCTTCGGTCTCCTTTCTAGGACAGGATGACCGTGCGCGGCGTCCTTCACTGGTCTAGGATTTTTCCTTTTGTAAGTAGCCTGTCATATGATCTGCTGGAAGTACACGTAAATTGTGGCCTCCAGCTCTAAAGAAATCGGCAGTGATATTATCGAGCCTTGGAGCTGCGCCTCTTTTCATGCTTTCTATCGCAACTCGAACCCCCGACGGAAGGATTGGTGACGGGTCCCTTCAAATGTACAGTGGGGTTAATGGCTCAATTCTACGACCTCATAAAGAAATCCTCTATCTCTCCAGATTCGGAAAATTCCTACACTGTTGAATTTTATCTGGAAAGTATTCTTTTAAGCGTCACAATATTGCAGCATGACACATACAATCTTATACATTTGCCGAAAGTTATGAAATTGTTGAGGCATTGTTTACTCGGTCGTTGGTTCGGTTCCATGAGGCCACCTAGTCACGCCTGCCATATTTCGGGTACATGAGATTGCACTAAGCTTCTATGGTTTGATAAAAGCACTCATCTGGATATATCGACAGACTACCACCAGTCTGTCCGCTCAAAGACGATTCCAAGATCATTAAGGACGGCTGTCGCATTAATCAAGAAGAAATGAGTGATCGTCACTATCGTTTTTTTGCCGCAACTGTAAAGTGAATTGATAAGAAATGATAAGGGTTTACAACCATTTCGCATTCGCAGAGTAAATATAGCGTCATTCTAATACATAGCTTTTTTTACTTCAAAAGGCTATTTTACATTACCAAGAAATTTGTTTTGTATATCTGACATCATCATTTATTCCATATTTATTTCACATTAGAATTTATTTACATTTTACATATTTTGCACCATTTTGCCTTCTTTATTTCACGTCATATTTCTAATCCTCCTATCACACCTACTTGGTTACTTCAACAGCCCGTCCACACTGCTAGTGCGGGCCCCAGCATAATCTCCATTTCTCGGCGATTTGCTTGTTAAGCCATTGTGGCTCTATGGAATCCCGAGGTCAGCCGGGCCAAAGTCTGTCCTAGGTCTTTACAACCACAGGCAGTCGCAGCCCTTGTGAATCAGAGAGAGATTTGCACTATGGGACTTTGATACCAGGACGGTGGTGGATTCTGGTATTGGTTTGGTTTTAGCTAGACTTCCTGATAGAAGCGCCGGGCTCCTTCTCAGCTTGGGAGACCCTGCCGGTGGGATGAATCCTCCCGCTGTACATCGGAGTTCGACACCCAGGAACACCTCGCAGCCACGATGAGACGGTGAACCATTGAGAGGTCCTACTATACTGTATACAAAAAATTATTATTAATCCACCATACAAGTAGGATACGGTAATAGACAGAATAGCTTATTCTAAAAAATAGCTATAAATTTTCATGGAAAATGCTTGAAAAGTATTCAGAAATGAATGATTGGCAGCATATCTGAACGGTTGTTTCATCGCTGTGACGAGAGGTATTGCTCTGGGTGTTGAATTTCGATATACAGCAGAAGGCGTTCTGTCATCTGGCTAATTAGTTAGATGTAATGCATTTTTAAATATTTCGTTTAAATTCCAGGTTAAGAGCACACTTTTTTCAATGAGGTAGTTGTCGTTGAAGAGAAACGTGATCGGAATGCGGCATGATCGCCTCTGATTGGTGACCGTTGGTCTGCCACCTATGATGCGTACTCGAAAACGTCTCTGTGAGGAATGGAAATTTCGGGACCTCATTCAACGAAAGGTCTTGGTCTTATAAAATTAACAAGACAATAGAATTGAAGCTGTTTCAGTCGGTTACAAATGTGGACCCCTGTTCTCTGCTCTCTTCGTGACGTTTCGCCATCTGCAGTGATGTTGCACTAAAATAAGTCTATTGAATAGTAGAAATCGATCCCTATGCAAACATATTTTTAAAATTATTAATGGACAAGAATAAGCTTTTAAACAAATTTAAGAAGATCTACTCATAGAGATCGGAGAACAAAGTGGAGAAAAGTTCAATTGCACTCAGGTTATATCTCTACCATACTGCACTTCTCATTTGCTTCAACCATTTTTATTGAGAGAATATGGCGCAGTGGTTACGAATGCTGCACTGTTCACATTTCCGCTTGCTCGACACAGTTCTCATTCTCACCACCATTTTCATTCATCAATGAAAAGTTCTTATTACTGCTCATTGAGTAACTTCTAAAGAATCTCGTTAATAAACAGTGATTTAAGTAATTTAGTATTTCCTTATGAATGTTTCAAATAGAGGAAAAACAAGCATTTAATCAGTGTGACGGTACGATTGCACTATGATGTCATATTAGAGTTATCCAAAAACTACGGTCTTGATGACAGCGAATGGGAAGAGGAGAAGGGGTGGGGTGAATCCGTTTCATATATATATCTGCTCGCTCCACAGCGGAGATGTTCAACCATCGTCCTTCATCATCCGTTCAGTACCTCTTAACTCCTTTCATCAACAGCTCTTATTCAATTTTTCGCCGTTTATTAAAATTTTTGAATGTTAGCAATTCTAGCTCACCCTAGAGGCGTGTGTGGCGTAGTGGTCGCAGGCGCCCTGCAATACGCACGTGGAATCGATTGCTGCGTCCATGGTCCACCAAACGTTTCATCCCTACGGGGTCGGCAAATTGGTATGTACCAGGCTTGTCTGGGAGGATAGCAGCACTGGCTCAATACATCGCGAGTCATTATAAACGACAGATATGTATTCAATCAGTTCTAACGATGCTTAATGAAGTCGAATGCATTGCGTATCCCTCAGGGATTGATCAACGCCGACAGCTTTATCCTTTACTATTATTTACCTTACCCTTGATCTAAGCCATCAATATTGTGAACAAGAAACATTAGATCCGATTATATAAAATACTGTTTATTTACTGAGGTTTATGCATTTCGCGCTCTTTGTATCGAACAAATGAAATTCACATATGAACTGATGAGGTCTACAATTTGTTCCAGACAATGCGTCGACCAGAGTTGGTCATCGCTTTCATCGTCATCATCGTCATGGAATTTCGTAGTTCATACGGAAACCCGTATCCTGAATTGAACAAACGCGACAGCTACACCGTGCACATTGAGATTTTCGGCGAAGCACGATGCACTGACACAACGAAGTGCGTTAATGTGACCGTAGTTTTTTTGGATTCTTGTTTTGTCTTCAATCAGTAGAAAACACTGAAGCTGCTCCGTTGCATCGTTCTATGCCGCTTTACCCTTAGCTGATTGGATCCTCTGGTTCGATCTTCTTCGAGTCCATATTAACAAAACTGTTCCACAAACTTGCATAACAGTTAAGGCATCAGCAGTAAAGTTTTGTTTCGCTATGAAAAGAAGTATTTCATTTATAAAAAAAATGTCGGAAGTCACTGTAGAGTTCAGTTCCAGTGAACGTGAGGTACGGCATTTTTGGTATCCATAAACATTGCAAGCGCCTCACGGTTCTAAGGAGATCACATGATTTTTCTTGCTTTCACCCATTTAGCCCCTAAAAATTTACCTCTTTTCGTCGACCAGGGACTCGCAGTGGCAAACTAGGTTGAACAAAAACAAGAAATTTGTGAGTGATACTGTACAAGGAGTGGTGCAAATATCTCAGAATCGCTGTGTTCCACAAAATGTCCTGCCGTGAAACATTGTAGAATGCAGCAAATGAAAAGTTGACACTGGGCAAGGATTGCTTGAGTTATACTCACACAACCACTGTGATGCTGAGATGTTTGCAAAGCTTGCACCACAGCCCATATTTGAAGCCGCGATTACCTGTCCGTGGGCTCACGTGTTATCCAACGTTCCGTTGAGCCACTGGTTTGCCTTTCTCTCAGCCAGTCCTCTACCAAACGCTGCCATCGCCAATCACCGCAAATGAGAATGATCTAGGGAGCACAAATCGGCATTGAACCCTCAAAACAACGTCAAAAACTGGGAAATTTGGCGTAGAACCGGATTTTCACTAAACGAAAACAACATATGTTCTATGTTTGGTATGTAACGTGAATGGTGGTGTCGTCCAAAACTTATTTTGAAATATTTATGCGCTCTAACCGCCGAGAAGCAAAAAAAGGACCAAAATAGGTAAATTAGACAAAAATGGTAGCGAAAACAGCAATGCAAGAAATCGGTTGTTGGCGCTCGCGCGTTGGTGTCGCTCATCGTCGCTAAATGGGCTGTTCAATTATGTCGTTGATTAATTCCTATTAAAAAAAACTAAAATCTAGGTGCATTGTGTCTAGAATAACGTTTACTGGACAGCTAAAAACCATCTGTTAAGCTTCTTATGTGGATTTTGTTAGGTTTTTTCTACATTTATTTGGCCAAGTGCATGAGCGGTTTCTATTATCGCAATACATGTGAAAGCCCTTAGGCCAACGACATAATTGAGCAGACCTATGGTGCTCATCCACGAGTTCAGTCAATTATGTGGACGACAACTGTTACGGTGACCACGGCAAGAGCCTCACAAAACCATGAACTTCTTTCTTAGGTTTCTACAAAAACAACTACTACCTGCATATAAGACCTTCGGATCTCGTCTAAACATAAGCTATCATCCATTTGGTTTACCAAAATTCGCGAAATGTGGATGGAATGGTACTAACATCGAGTAAGTTGTTTAGCTATAGCATTAGTTTTTCTCCTAACACCAGTGTAGACTACAGTACTGCTCAGTAAGCATTAAGCAAATGATGAAACAAATCACTAATTCGTGTATAACTGAAAGCAAAGCAAAACGGAAAGTGTAAAAGCAATCAAACAAGGAACTGGGTAAGAAAGAATGGTCGCTGTTCGATCCTTCACGTATGTACGAAAAAGCACGAACAGCGAAAGTGGAAATAATATTTACTAATTCACTTATATGACCTGTCTTCACATGCTGTTGGTTGTCAGTGCCTATTTCATTGGGTCCACTGCTCTACGTCCATCGACTGCGACGGTCATCAGAGTTGCATTTTGGATCGGCTGCTATTTGTGGGTACTGTCTTCCTCACGAATGCATTAAACGTTACTCGAATTGGTTCTTCTTACAATGTTATGGTGGCTCTACCACAGCGCTCCAGGCCTGCACTAAAGACTTAAAGAGCGCTTTGTAGATCGGAAAGAACATTGCATAGGCAGGTTCGAGGGCCATTTGCAAAGCACGAAGTAATGTGGGAGCACGTGTTGTCCTGGCACAAAAAGTGAAGCGGATCATATAATAAGAACAACGATCAGTATTTCATCAGTGGATCCATTGCGTCCTTTGGCGTAACTTTTTGTTTCGTATCCTGTTGGAAGCCGAAGAAAAAACGATTTTCCTTCCCTGATCACTATTTCTTCACTGTACCACTTTTTTACACCATGAAAAGAATGACGATATCACGGCAATTAAAACACTATCGTGGACAAGTTTACAGAGCACAGAATGATGGAGTGTACCTGCAAAATAAGATGGCGCTTCCGGGTGAGGTAGGATGGAGAAGAAGCACACTCTTAGAGCTTGTAACAAAAAAAGGGCAAAGCTCTCGGCATTGATCAATCTCTGAGGGATGCGCCATGCCTTCGACTTCAATAAGGATCGTTTGGAGGTGATTGAATGCATATCTGGATTTCACAATGACTCACAGTGGCCTATCGATTTATCGAGCCAGTGCTGCTATTCACCCAGACAAGTCTGCTACCAATTTGCCGAACCCGAAGGGATGGAAGGCATGGTGGGTCATGGGCGCGGACATTTTGTTCGTTCAACAGGAGATTTCTAACAGTCTTCCAATCTCACAATCGTTCTTTCCTATCTCTTCTGAAATCTGTTCATTCTGTGCTTATTCCGCACAGAAACGCTGATTTATGACTCATGTTGATGGCGTCTCCATCGAGCGCGGACAATCTGTTAAAACAACATATTCGATGACAGTTCTCTGTTACAGTTGTTCATGTCATCACGGTCTGCGAGAATGCGAAAAACAAGCTCTTCAGGCATGTGTAATTTCGCTCATTCCAGAAACTGATGAACATCTGGAAATCGGTAAGAAGAGCCAAATAGGGACCACTCTATATTTCGTTCGTTTTCGCTCACTGTTATTATTTAAGCTATTGCAATTTCAGTTGGCTGTATCCAAGGTGGAGACGAATTCGACGACTCTGTGAAAAAATGTCTCGCTAACAAGCAGCCATCATTGCGAGTTCCCACTGACAGGTTAGGGTTTCTTTGTGGCTTTTTCAGCGTTTTAAAACTCAACTCATACAAATGCACTCAATCCTATTCATTTCTGAGAACTAAAATTTTCTTCGCTTAGCAGGTGTTCCTTTTTTTAAATGCAAACTCGTCATTGAATTTTAACTTTTATACAACTCCACATCCAATTATTTTCCTCGCATCCATCATCCACAAGGACGTTCCAACTTTTACTTGTGGCTTTGACTGCTGCTTAAGGCTTTTGATTTCATCTTGAATGTCGCAGAATACTGGTCATGGCGATTCCCACTGGAGATCTGAGATAGCCGGGTTAGAGCGCCCCCACTTGTACTGCACAGAGTAGTTTTTTCTCGAATGAGTCTGGTACCAATTTCTCAACACGGGAGAGATGGATGAGAGGACTACTGAGCCCGCTGCAGGATCGAACCAATAAGGTGCTCGTGTTGATCGGCATCACTATCACTATGATATCCGCCTCACATTTTTGAATAGAAATCCAAAAATTTTTGTCTTCTTCCAATTGGAAATTATATTGACTGGATTAGATTGTATTAATTAATTAGAACAATTGCTAAGGTTTTGTTTTCTGCCTTCTATAAATTTCATGGCAGGTTACTAAGCGAAATACAGCCACAACGTTGCTGAGATATTTGCAAAACTCTGGATCGCAGGAGCTGCTGTGGCAAAAAGATCGATAGAAGTAGCTGAGACAGGCGAAACGAAGGACCCGCATGGTGTGGTGGTGAACGCGTTACTCCCCGAAAAGGACAATAACGCGTTCGTTCCCCACCGTAGACACCTGCGGTCCAGAGTTTTGCAAATATCTCAGCAACGTTGTGGTTGTAGAACAATTGCATTAATAATCCAAAATTATGAACGCAAAGGAAAACATTTTCGTTACATACTTCTATATGAGCCGTTATCACATCTACTATGAAGATCCCAGCACTTCTTGAATTCGATTCATCTTGCTTTGGTATATTCACAGTACTGCAGAAAAACGTCGAAAGGGTTTGCACCAGCACCTTACTTCCTGATGAACTGCACCGTTAACCACTGCGTCAATCCCTTTTCCAAAGGAAGAAATAGTACTATTAAGTACCTGCCTTAAATTCAGTCTTTTCTGTTCCTTCTTTTGTGATTCCTTTGTGAGTTGCCTACGATGATAATCATTTGCAGATTTGTTCGATGCGCTAAGTCGGATGCTGGTCGTAGTCTGATCGAGCATCATGGCTCGATTCAACGAGTCATAGCACCAGAAGTGCGCTGGGTAAGTATACTTTCAAAAAAAGTATTTTAGACCGATTGTTCGTCATCTTTTGTGAGGGAGCCAGAAAAAAAGCGTACGCTACCAGCAGATAACAGCATAAGGTAATCAACACAAGAAGTGGGGTTCAGCTCTGCTCACATGGTTATTTCTCTTTCCACTGGGGAATTGTGAGAACAACAATAATAAGTGCGCTGAAAAGGATAAGTGAGAAGGCGCTTAACGTTAATCCGTCCTGCAGGGATGCACCATGCATTTTATTCCATTCGCAGCATCGCAACGGTGATTAAATATATATTTATATATACATTTATAAATATATTTTAAACAAGGCTCGTGACTGCCCGATGTATGAAGGTACTATACAAGTATAGAAATATCAAGCTAGTGCAATGTGAAATACAATTACAAAGATGCTGAGATATGAGCAAAACTCAGAATCACAGTTGCACTTCCCATTCGCCGTTACAATTGCCCATGTCTCACGCAATGTCCACCACAGCGACTGAAGCCCTGCTCTGGTTTTCTCTCAGCCACGGGAATGAAGTGGGGAGCATAAATCGGTGTTGAACCAGTTAAGCTGACATTGCAATCGCAATCACAATATCTCAGGCTATATTTTAAGTTAAAAGAAAAAGCCCGAGCTTACAAAGCATTCTATCAGTCCAGAATTGACAAATTGATACTAAAATTCTCTGAGAGAATAGTGGCACTGAATCGACAAATCGCCAAGCCACTTGGAATCATTGTATAGGCCAAATATACATCCGTTCACCTCTAACAATGTCTGACGAAGTCGAATGCACGGCCCATTCTTCAGGAATTGACCAACGCCAAACGCTTTATCGTTTACCTTTTCATATTTTGATGCACATAACAGTGGACATTAGCTCTTTATGCTGTTTAGGTGCCATGGATTATCATCAACGGCGTTCGAGACAGAGCAGCTGAACACAATCTGGAACGAGCGCTATGTACACGTTATTTGAAACCACGTCCCGTCTCTTGTGCACACTATGAGCCTGATCTCACGGAGAAGTCGCATTAAATACTTTGAAAGCGTCGATGACCAATCTGTTAGAAGGCTGTCGAAACGGTGCAGATGTAAAATTGAATAGTGTAAGAAGAGAACACGGAGTATTTCGTTATCAGCGCTAGGTTAGTTGACATCGGCTTTATTTTTGGACTGGCCCAATGAGTTACACACCTGTTGTTCTTTAATTGGCAAGCTTTATTATTTCTTACCTATGATACTAAAAACTGCTTATCGATTAACATGAACGGCAAAAATAAAAATATCGAGTTTTATAAGATTGATGATCATCTGATGGATTAAAAACTTTAGTTGAAGTTTCCAGGTTCGACTTTCTATTAAACCTCGGCATTGGATTAATAATTCGTCGTTTTCTCTCTCTCAGTAATCCCGAGGTTATTAAACAAGGTTGACGACGCCAAGCGTATGCAATACTGGTCAGCGGTTCTTCCTCAGTGGTAGGCTCGTAAAAACGGCTCCGAAGAAGGCGATTCTGCCGAAACGTCAGCTGAGATTGTGTTGTATGCGTGTTATTGTATGGAAGCTGCTTAAAAACTTCGCGATTGCTGAGAGAGAAAATAACGAATTTATTTGAAATGTCCAACTATTATTACCGATCGTCACAATTTCTTTTCGGCTCTCCATCGCTATTCGCATTCGTTGCCATTTGTTTTGAGGAATCATCATTACTTCATTCGTTCACTTGTAAAAATGACGACACAAGCGTAAAATGAGCCATGAAACTCGTACGCAAAGAACGCGTGGCTTCCCATTTTATGACATTACACAGATAATAAATAAATCAGCTATGAGCCACAGTACAATGGGTTAAGAACATTTCTAGTCATTACATTGCGAATAGGATCCGTACTAGTCAGACGTGCCTTGTGAGACACACTTGGTTGATAAATAGCTTTAATCGGCAAGCGTCTCGGTTTCTTCGTCTTCATCAGCGCTGATGATCCGAGTCGATGGTCCAGTAGTTCGTCTTCTCTATGTAGCGTCTTCGTAGTCGTACCGAGACGAATATTCTTCGGTGTAGCACCGGATGAACGATGTTCTTCACTTTGACAGCGCTTCGTTAAAGTATTTACCGAATCCCAGTTTTCAATGTTTCTTAATGAAAATGCAAAACGAATTCCGATGAATCTGGAAGTTTTCGGTGTTTGTTAAAAACGCATTGGAAAATATTAGAGAACAGCGTAATGCAAGTCATTGTAAGTTATCATTTTTCCAAACCTGAAAGTCTCCTAAAGCGAGGCAACGGAGGATGAAAACCTACGTTCTCTCACTTTTACTAGTGTTCTTGGTTTACATAATGGAACTACCATAATCTTGAATTGTATAAGAGGTAAGCCTTAAGAATAAACGATGATACGATGCAGATAGGAAGAGGTAAAAAAAGAATACGATTAATTTCACAGAAATACATTCCCAGACAAGCCAATTCATTGACGATCTTAGCTAGGTCTAGTACATATGGACTAGCTGGTCCAAGCATGAGTTATCATTCCAGTAGTCTGGATCGGGGAAAATTGGTGACCGTATTTGTGTTATATCCGAAAATCAAACTTCATTGAAAGCTTCGAGTCTTCTCAGACTTTTCCAAGAGCTGGGCATTTCTCGTGTTGTGCCTTTAAGTAGTAATGTCGTTCACAGTGCCTTTTTTGTACATTCTGAGTTATCAACAGACAAAATGGCTATTTCTGCTTAACTTCAAATCTCAGGGATTTGCATAACCTCAAACAAATCGAAAGTGGCACGAGACGTATTCACTGCATTTAAACTAATTGCAAATGGTGAAAAAATAAGGTCAGCAAATTTCCTTGAAAGTATTGGCTTGATAACATTCGCAATAGTAATTCATGGCAACATTGCCAATAAGGGTGAAGTGGTGACCTTCCAGACTTGTCTTTGAAAACTAGGGACAAAAATGTGCTTAAAACTTTGTACTTGTATTGAAAACGCTTTTCTCATTGGTGAATTCCCATCGACCTTATAATAAAGGGATGAATCTACAGTAGGGAATCCTAGCGTACATGAGCATACCTGAGAAGAATAAGGCATATACGGAAGCGATGAAAGCTATCCATTGCAGTTAGGTTCCAATCACGTTCGTCAGTTTATGTTATAGGAGACGATGGTGGACCCACTACAACAACAATTATTTGGAAAGCTATTTGTAAGAAAAACGTTTGCCTCGAATCATTTCTATGCGATGAGGGAATAAAAGCAAATGATGTTTCACCACGTCTGGCATTATGAGGAGCAATGGCTGTGGACAATCGAGACAATGCTTCCACGACCAGCGGTACATTGTGGATCAAAGGGAGAAGAATGCTTCAAAACACCTGCGACGATCTAGATCGCAATCTTCAAGATGGTCCACAATTTTCAAATTCCACAACGCATATTTCTAAAAGGGATTCACTTCTCTTCACCTTCCCCAATACCAGGATCCACCATCGTCCTGGTACCAAACTAGCCGCATGGTGGCAAATCTCGCTGTGATCCACAAGGGCGGCGCCTACCTGTAGTTGTGACGAGCTGGGGCAGACATTGGCCAGGCTGACCTCAGGACTCCAGGGAGCCACAATGGCTTAACCAGTAAATCTCCGAAAAATTGAGATTCTTCTGGGGCCCGCACAACCAGTGAGGACGGGCCGTCCAAGTGTTCAAGTGATTCATTTCTCTGCTAACTATATTTTAAACAAGAAATTGCTATGCCAACGACTCACCATTTCCGAAAAGCAGACATTCAGATGCACTGCTGCGGCAGTGCCTACAAGGATCACCTATCAATAGTGCAGCAGATGGAATGGAGCAGATTATCCGCATGTTCAGTGAAAGGTTACAGATTTAGAGCCAACCTTTGAATTAAAATTCTGGAACTTATCAGTATTTTAAATTAATGAATCTCCATAGTTTTAAATGCTGTTGAGGCTGCACTGTTTGGCAAACCAAAAATCAAATAACCGGAGGCAAAAACCGGTGTTTCATTTTGGTTTGCCGGTGATTTAAAACTTCGCCACGCGACTTTCAGAATGCAACGATTTCAGGACGAGTATAGGATATCGGATCACGTCAACGCTATCGCGCCAATTAACGTTCAATGACAGTGAACCTTTATGCTTCATTCGAATCAGTCTAAACGCGAATCTCATACATTGCACAGAGAACGAGGAAGGTTTTGTCTGTTCTTTCCTCAAGTTCATGCTGTGTTTCGCCTGAACACGATGACAAACCTTGCTGGTATGCGAGGATTTTTTTGCATATCTGCCCTGAATGAGCCGTATTTGGTTAAAACCCTCTGGTTGGTATTCTTTCTTTGATGAGCTTACACGAGGTTGATACCCTCTGGTTGGTTTCGAGGATATCTGGCGCGCCCTTAAGGTAATGGACAGCGAACTAAACGGATGAAATAAACCTTCCCTTCTTCTAGTCTTCACCGTTCATAAGAGGATAGAGGATGAAGCATTCGGTGTTGATCAATCTCTGAAGAGTTCGCAGTGTACTCCACCGCATTTCTAGCATCGTAGAGCCGAATGAATGCAGATTCGGCCTTGGCAATAACTTGTGGTGACCTACTAACATATCAAATCGATGTTCTCATCCTTTCAGAAAGGTCTGGTACTAATGTTTTGACACAGAAGGGATAGAAGGTGAGCCCAAACGACCACGTGTATATAGCAGGCGTCTCTAACTACTGCGCTACATTTCGTCTCAGTATGAAGCCTACGAACATTAAACCTCAAAGGTTTCATTCAATATTTAACGTTTACCATGGTGGATGAAACACAGAAGCAGAAAGCAATGTGTTATCTAAAGAGAAGTCATAGCTATCAGCCCGAGATAAGTTCACTTTTTTGTAGCACGAGAAAACCACGAAGGGCCGCACTATGTTCATTGTCCACGAAAATTTAGTACTCCCAAGTTATGACCATAACTAACGCCCGTCTTTCCGCATTGAGAACGACGTAGCTGATTAAAAACTTTGCCT